GGATTTTTTTTTTTCTCTTGCATTTATCAGACTAGTATAATATGTCATTCTGAACAAGTACTCAGTAGATGTTTGTTACATCAAACATTTACAATACTTGATTCTGTCTTTTTTTTTTGGTTGGTTGGTTGTGGGGCCTGAACTCGGCCTGGGCACTGTCCCTGAGCTCTTCGGCTCAAGGTGAGCACTCTATCACTTGAGCCACAGTGTCACTTCCGGCTTTCTCTGTTTATGTGGTGCTGAGGAATTGAACCCAGGGCCTCATGCATACAAGGCAAGCACTCTACCACTGAGCTACCTTCCCAGCCCTTGATTCTGTAACATTCCACCACACTATTGCAGTGTCCTTTCAGTTGACTTCCGGTCTCCTCCAGTTCACCTTATGCATTTCTGATCAAATAGTTTAAGCTCAAGCATGCATTCTAGTTCCTTATTGATGCATCAAAAATCAATTTATTTAGAGCTTATAAGCAAGTCCCATTACTCCTGTCAGTAGTCACACAGTTTTCTGTGTCCCTACACATGAATAGTAATCATTCCTTTAATGCTGACAGTCCTGTTACTTATAGTTCTGTTACTCACTCGTGTAGTTTGTAAATATTAACTGTAAATATCAGCTATAGGAGGCCATTGTGCCAGGAGCTCTCTTAATTCTAGATGTTAACATGATGACCATGTTAAGGTACTTAGCCTCTTTTAACCTGTCCCATCATCTGTAAAGTGGAACACTTTTGCCTAGTTCACAGGAATGCTGTGGGCAGTTCATGCGATATTACCATATTATAACACTGGACAAGTGTTTAGCGCTGTGCCTTGTGAGTGATGCATGCTCAGGAGATGCTGTGGGTCTTCCTTATGGTTTAAGATCCAGCACCAGTCCTTGCACCTCCAGAAGACTTTGAGCCTTTTCTCAGATGTTCCCTACTCAGGTTTCAGAGCTATATGTGGAAGAACTAAAGTGTTCTTTTGGAATATTGCAGAGTCTGCTGGACTGATGCAGGATTTAACACTGAAGATGTTAAGTGAAAAGCAGCATCCAGAGTTGAGTGAAAGGGTTAAATTGGAGTCAAAGTTAACCCTTGCTGACTCCTGACTTTCTGGCTCTAGTTCAGGCACATCACTTCACCCATTCAAGCTTCAAGTTTATCTTCAAAATGAATGTAAAGTATATATGTTCTAGCAGCGTGCTGGTGGCTCATACCTGTAATCCTAGCTACTCAGGAGACTGAAGTCTGAAGAGGCAATTGGAAACCAGCCTGAGTAGGGATTGTAACCACGAAAAACCTAGAAATGGAGTTGTGGTTCAAGTGATAGAGAGCTAGCTAGCCTTGAGCAAAAAAGCCCAGGGCCACCACCCATACCCTGAGTTCAAGTCCCATTAAAAAGAAAAAGCAGCACCTGCTTTTTCCAGTCCTGGTAAATATTCAGTATTTGGATATAATAATCAGAAAATAATGAAACATCGTGCCATCATGGTTTCTTTGAGTCGTCTCAGCAACGGAATATCCTTATGACCCTGAAGGGATAACACAACTCACAGTGCCTGGGAAAAATACATTCTGTTATCTCTGGAGGGTTTTGTAATACAGAGCCAGGCCAGGCTTTACGTGTTACTAAGGAATAAGCCCCATTGTCTCTTCTTTCCTAAAGCTGTGCTTTAAACCATATGTGCAGACAAGTTAATGACATCCAGAAGTTCCCTATTGCCTTAAGTCATTATTGTGCTGTCTTTGTCTCTAGGATCCAAGCCAAGCTGATGAAGAAGCAATGACACAGATCATCCGGGTGTCCTAACCTTGGGCCAAGGGTTATATTCCTCGCACTGTTTCCCTCTGTTCAGGAAATTGATCGACTCTTCCAGTGGGACACTGGCAGTCACACTCTGCCCTTTGCTACAGGACAGAAAACCACTTAGATTTTAAGTGGCTCAGTGTTATAATTGCCGTGGGGTCTGGCAAATTGAAGTTGCAAACCTTTGTCTCACCCTTTCGGTCAGGACCTGTTTCATACTGTTGAGGATACTGACATTTGGTGGATTCGGGGTGATACAAGGAGACACTTGCCAGCCCAGCAGTACACAAGCACTTAACGTAGACTGGAGAAGCCAGACAGCCATCTCAGCAGGAAGAGCATCCTTCTCAACTTGAAGTACAGTCAGGGAAGCGGAAGCCCGCTCCTTCCCATGGATTGCAGTGTTCATCCTCTGATGGGCATCTCAGGCTGACTGCCTCAGTGGACGCTTTGTATTTAGAGATGGCATGGACGTTCCATATTATGATATAGAAACAATAAATTCTCTGAGATACTGTCATCTAATCTATGGTAATAAGAATCTTTGTCTGTCTACACGCTAGCTGATATTTTTGGACTCTGCGAATGAAAAGATTTTAAAAAGACCACAAGTACAGAGACATATATTGCTGAATCTCATTTTTTAGTTTGGTGGGAGGGAGGTAGTTTTGTTTTTACAGTAGTAAAGAGTTTATTTAACAAAGAAAAAGTAAAAACTATTCAAGAGAGTGAGCAGTGGGACCTGGAAAACAGTGATCCCTCATTCTTTAGTTTTGACAAGTGATTTGCTTGTTGGATATGTCATCTGCACCATAGTTCTTGCTATGGCTACTTACAAGACAATTTCAAGTATATTGGATTCACGGTTGCCTAAGTGGAGAAAAAAAACTTTTCAGCAACTTTTATGCTGGTGCCTCAGTAATTCCTTCACAGAAAAGCAAACTACAGATTTTTTTTTTCTTAGCCATAGGTTTTGTGACAGTATTTGGGGAATGGATGGATCTGTATGTTTCCCTAGGAGGGAGAAAGAATAATCTACATATACATACATTGTGATAGCACATGAGATAGATGCCTAGGTTGGACATTAAACTAAAGAGAAACTAATTCACCTGTACACTAGCATCTTCTTAACAAGCACTGAAAAGGAGAAGTCTGAGATTTGGTCCTGGACAATTTCTAAAAAGTACTCTTTAGTCTGGATCTTCGTGTGGATGTTAGCCTCAGTCCTAGAGCACTTTGCACTGGCCCCAGAGAGCAGACATTCTCATTCTTCCTGTGGCAGCTGATTCTGTGGTGCCAGTTTCCATGTCTTCTCTCCATAGGCTTTATGCAGCAAAGTTTTCACATTGCATCCATACTGTAGGAATCAACTATAGACCAGAGACAGATCACAATAGTGTCAGCAGCTGGGCTATAGTTCCCAGAACAGGTTGGGTCTCAGAAACTCATTTTCTAGGCACTCTATCACTGAGCCACACCCCTAATCCAGAAATCTAGGTTCTAGATGTTGATCTCTGAAACTAACATTTAGGAAGAGTCGGTTGCCTTCTTTATAAAACAAAAGAACTTTTGGAGTTAGTTTAAATACTAATAGTAAAGATTGACTTTTCTTTAACTTGACTAACTGGATTAAGACAGGAAAGAAGTTTTTAGCCTCTAAAGAAAGTATGGGAAAGAAGAGAACATTGTAAAATGGTACACAGAGGTACAGAGCTATACAAAGGAAGTAAGTGAAATGTCTTTCTAGTGCCAGGAATCTGGTCATTTCTCCTGGTTTCCAGATTTTTGGGGCTGGGATAACTCAGTAAGCTCACTAGAAACTGGTGTCTCTAACATTGGTTTTCAGATATTAACTGTCCCAAGTCTTTTAGATACTAAAAGCAATGAGGAATATCTGGGGGGAAAAAAAAAGACTGAGATGTGGTCTGAGGAATTTCATTTTCAATGCTCCCAACAGTTCTAAAATGCTATTTATTTGTGTCTGTAAGTTTGTACATAGTAATACCAATCTCACTGTTGCTGAAATTTTGTTTTGGGTGGCTAGTTTGAATTTTGTGTTTAAAATTAAATGCTTTGGATGATGTCATTTTGACACATGTCATTTCAGACAGCATATGACCCCTTTATTATGGTTATTTTAGCACATGGTGATAGCCTACAAACTGAGGGGAGACTGACTTTTGAGTTTCTTCACTACTAGTTGTTTTAGTCATTTGTCCTTGTACTTACTGTTGGCTTCAAAAATGCAGAGTGAATGGATGAGTGAAAAATTAGTTTAATACATTGTTATTTGAGTTGGGGTTTTTTGCAGGATAATTGTATTTTAATTGCACTGGTACATTGAACATGTCAGTGTCTATATCACTGGACCAACAACAGCCTTTTCTGGCTACAGGGTGCCTGATGATAATGTTTTGATTTTCCTTTGGGACTCAACTGCGTAGGTTGTTTGGGGGAGGGCTGTTTTTTTGTTGTTTTCCCCTCCAACAGTGGGGGAGGGGTTACAGGTGATAGATCATTGATGTCATTGCAATTGTTATTTTTTAAAATAAATTTATAAAAATACTAAAAAAAAATGACTTCCAAGAGTCTGCATCCCTTGAGTTCCAGGTTGTTTGTAATACTGAAATTGTTCTCTGGCCAGAAATGATCTGTTTTCAGAATCACTGTGATAGCCAAAACCACCCTCCCCCCCTCTTCCCCACCCCCCGAAAAAGGAAAAAACCTACTTTCCTAAGTTGTTGAATATCCACAGCATGCCCAACCTGTTACTTCTGTATACTCTTACAGGAATATGAGCAACCAAAACCATCACCAAGTCTTGGAACTAGAGAAAAGCAGACCCTGGGAGCTGTCTTGAAAGGAGATGGAATGGACCAATCCTGACACTGCCCATAGAACATTTCCTTAGTAAATCCAGGGATGGCCCAAATTTCTACTCTGCACATACAGGAGGAGACTTAGTGTTTACCCCAGACGACCCGCTTCATCCTGGAAGCTTCACACGCGACTCCTCCGGGAAGTGCCGCTTGCCCTTCCCCCACGCTCACTCCCGGAAGTCAAAGCTAGAAGGAAGTAGGTAGGAGGGGCTCCTGGAAGGCCCGCGCAGATTGGTTGGTGGGAGGTCCCATCTAGAGTCACCGATGCGGATTGGCTGCTTCTTGGAAAGCACCTGTTTCCGGTAGCGCCGAGGGACGTCTCGCCACCCCCATGGCGACCAGCGAGCCGGAGGCGGGGCCGCCTCTGTGGCCTGTGGAGGCCCGGTTGGCGGCGCTGCTTCCGGACCTGCTGGTCTTTAGGAAGCCGGCGGAATCAGAACCCGAACTCTCCACGTCCCAGGGTGTCCTTCTAGGCGTCCACGTGACTGGTGAGGGCGAGGGCGGCCCGAGGGCAGCCATAGTCCCTGAAAGCCGGGATGACGTCCCGGCGCCTCGAGGCGCCACCACCGCGGGACCTTCACGTCGGCGAACTCGCCCTTCTTGACTCCGTGTAGCTCTTGGGTTCACTTCTCAAATGACGAAATTGACAGCAGGGTTGTGCAGAGATACTCAATGCATTTTCCCCCAACGCGGGGGTCTTCTAATAATAAACCTTTGCATATATATATAATACGCATTATATATTATATATTATTATATGTATAATTATATAATAATATAACATATTAATATGTTTAAATGTTATATATTATATATTTATAAATAATATATAATTGTGTATTATATGATTGTGTAATAATATAATATGTTATAAATTTTATATATATATATATATATATATATATATATGTATTCTTTTTCCTCTTTGTTTTGTGGAACTGAGGAACCCGGGAGCTCCCACTTGCTAAGCAGGTGCTCTACCACTTAAGCCAAGTCCCCAGCTCACTTAATTTCGTCCCTTGGAGACATAGGTTTGTGCCTGCCGTTTTTTTTTTCTTGATGCCAGGTATCTAACCAGAGATTCATTCACAAGTATTTATAAAGTATCTGTCATGAAGACAGGAGGTGCCTGTCCTTACCACTTGAGTTCTTTGCGCTTCAATCCAATCCCCTTTTCAGTGTTTTCTCTTTCTCAAACAAGGACAGAATGATAGCTTGCTTCAGCCACAGAGCCTGAGGAGAACAGTCTTTGGCTCACATAGAAAAAAGAGAGAGGCAGGAGAAGGAAGTAAAGAAAGAAAAAGCACTTATAAGTGAGGCAGCAGTTAGTCTGGCCCTGAGTACTTCCTAAGTAGCATCATACTTGATAGATAGGTCAAGGGATTCACCTTGAAAGGATCCTATTCCTTTAGATTCACCTAGTGTGTGGAGGGAAGAGGGCCTAAAGGTTTAAACATTGAGACTTAACAGTAATCTTTGCTTTGTTGGTCAGGGTTTACAGCATTAATGGATAGGTTCAGACTGACCTGCAAGCCGGAACATGACATGGAAAAACTGGCCCACATCTTCAGTTATTACATTAGTGACATCGTAGAGCGTGAGTGATCGTTTCAGGGGACCCAGGAGGTGTGGTTCTGGGCTCCTGAGGGTTTGTTTTCAAGGAAAGACCATGGAGTACTTTAAAATGAATAACCATAGGGTTATGAATTTATTTAGTGTTATTGAGGCTTGAACTCAGGGCCTGGGCTCTACCCCTTAGCTTTTTTCCCCTGAAGAATGGCTCTATACAACATAATCCACATCTTCCCTTCCAGCTTTTTGGTGGATAATTCGAGATAAGAGTCTTATAGACTTTCCTACCCAAGCTCACTTCAAACTATGATCCTCAGATCTCAGCCTCCTGAGTAGTTAGGATTATAAGTGTGAGCCACCCATTTTCTGGCAGGGTCATTCTTTTATCATCACTCATCTTCAGTTTTACCAAGTTACTGGTAACAAGCTCGTTCTTTGCCTCTGTCTACCATTCCACTCAGTCTCACATCCTATTGACTCAATGTTCAGAAAAGGGAAAACAAATTTATTTCGAAATAAAGTATTCCACAGGTGGTCTTTTAACAATAAATGTGCCTCGTGGGTATGTATTATATTTTACAAAGCATTTTTCCCAAATAACAAGTAGGTCTCAGATCAAGTTCTGTATTCCATAATAAGGAGCTTGGATTGAAAGGTTGGAGCAGAGTAGTGACATGATCTGATTTTTTTAATGTAATTTAATTTTGGAGGCAAGGTCTTGCTTATACATTGGCTTCAAATTCACTAGTAGTCCAAGCTGGCTTCAAACTTGCAATCCTCCTGTCTCAGGGTCCCAAGTGCTACAATTTACAGGCATTAGCCACTATGCCTGTCCTCTGATTTAACTTCTTTTTTTAAAGTTAATTTGACTGCTTCATGAATGAAATTATAGGGAACAAGAGAAGAGTGAATGGTAAGATTGGAAACTGGGGAAGTGGCGCTGTGGCTCAAGTGGTAGAGCACTAGCCTTGAGCTGAAGAGCTCAGAGACAGTGCCCCAGACCAGAGTTCAAGCCACACCAAAAAAAAAAAAAAAAAAAAGAAAGGAAGAAAGAAAGAAAGAAAGAAAGGAAGGAAGGAAGGAAGAAAAACAAAGAATGGAAGCTGGAAGCAACAATTAGATCAGTCCTTAAAGAGGTGGAGATTTGGCCTAAGGTAGTATGTCCCAACTCTAAATGCACATCTGATCACTGCCTAGAATGCTTTTTACAAGCCTAGTTACTTTGATACTGGAATGTAGCTCTGTTTACCAAACATTCAGTAGGCCTTGTGTTCCATCCCCATCTTGATAACTAGCCTTTATGGCAGACCATTTAAATAGAAACTCTGGGCCCCAGAATAAGGATTCTAATAAATTTCACAGGCAGTATCAATGTGTAACCAACTGAGAAAATGTATAAAAGTACAAATAGATTTGAGGAGAATGTAGGAAAAAAGAAGAAGCCCAAGGCTTGGAGTAACAGATAAGAAAAATATGAGGAAATTTTAGTAGGGTATTTTTTAAATGTATAGAATTTTGCCATAATCCAGTATCTCTCTGGTCTTGACCCATTGTTTCTCTCTTCCTTACCTGATTTCAGATGTTCTCTGTTTTGGAGGGGATATCCTAAATATCACAGGTATTTTTAGTTTTTCTGTACGTTTAAAGAACTGTGAGTGAGGGAAGTGGTGTGTAGATGAAATCTGCCTATTTGTTCTGCATTCATTAATTAATTCATTGATCCCTGAGATATGAAGATGAGGAAACAAGTCTCTGTTTCAAAGGACTTTCCAGTTTTAGAAAGTGTTGCTAAAATTAAACTTACATATGCTTTACATTCATTTAGATTGAATGCCAGTGGAGGTATGGCTCAAGTGGGAGAATGCTTGCCTAGCAAGTGCAAGGCCCTGAGTTTTCTTTAAAAATAGGAAAGAAAGAGAAGAGAGGCTGGCAATATGGCTTAGTGGTAGAGTGCTTGCCTAGCATGCATGAAGCACCCTGGGTTTGATTCCTCAGTACCACATAAACAGAGAAAGCAGGAAGTGGCACTGTCACTCAAGTGGTAGAGCACCAGCCTTGAGCAAAAAAAGCTCAGAGACAGTGTACAGACCCTGAGTTCAAGCCTCAGGCCTAGCAAAAGAGAGAGAGAGAGAGAGAAAGAGAGAGAGAAGATGAGTAGGGAACAGAGGAAAGGAAAGGAAAATGACAGTAATCAGTCAAGTAGTTTGTGGCTCAAGTGGTAGAACACCTGCCTGAGTTAAATGTTAGGAAAATTAATTCTTTTAATACATTCTTCAGAAAAATTCATGAGAGACTAGTTCATTAGTAGCAGAAATTAAGTACAAGAGTCAAAAGCCTCCCCTCTGGAAAAACTGAGGATGATTCACATATGATATAGAGTTAGCCTTCTTTTTTTGGTTGATCGTGGGGCTTGAACTCTGGGCCTGGGTGCTGTCCCTCAGCTATTCAGCTCAAGGCTAGCACTCTACCATTTGAGCCACAGTACCACTTCCAGTTTTCTGAGTGGTTTATTGGAGATAAGAGTCCCACAGACTTTCCTGCCCAGGCTGGCTTTGACTTCAATCCTCAGATCTCAGCCTCCTGAGTAGCTAGGATTACAGACGGGAGCCAGTGCCCGGCTCTTCTCTTTTAAACAATAAAATCAGCCATAAAAGTAGATTTGAACTTGAGCCTACATTTTGTGAATTTGTTACTACCCTACTCCTCTGTTCGTTCATTGATGGAAGGAAGGTTACCAAAAGTTTTGACAAACCAGGCACCGGTGGCTCACTTCTGTAATGCTAGCTACTCAGGAGGCTGAGATCTGAGGATCACGGTTCAAAGCCAGCCCAGGCAGGAAAGTCTGTGAGACTCTTCTCTCTAATAACAGAAAAGGCCAGAAGTAATGCTGTAGCTCAAGCGGTAGAGCTGAAGAGCTGAGGGACAGCACCCAAGCCCAGAGTTCAAGCCCCATGACTGACAAAAAAAAAAAAAAATTTTTTTGACAAAGTAGTATTTTAGCCTAGCATAATTTACAGTGCTGAGAAGCTTTGCCTACGCCTTTCATAGTTTCCACACCAAATGAAGTTGATCTTGTGCAGTACTGGGGCTTGGCCCTAGGTGAAGCAAGTCTAAATCCTTGACCCCTGTCAGACTATTCTCTGTCTTTTTAGGGAATGTACTCCTGGCACTATGGACAGTGGAACAGAATCAACTGAGCGACATCATTACTCTGGTGGCCAAGTGCAGTCTGGAAATACAGGAGAAATTTGGTATCTACCATACCACAGAAGGCCAGGACCTGCAGCTAAAAATTGGTAGTAACTCCTAAAAGAATGGTTCAGTTGGAAAAGAAAAAATACTATAAAGTTTCAAGAGATGACAAACATTTATATATTTGCAACTCAGTTCAAAGGATAGATTTCTCTAATATAGAAATAGCATGTACAAATCAAGAAAAGTTAATGTAAGAGAAAAATGGGCAAAGGATGTTAATAAATGGTACATAAACAAATACAACTATGCTTGTGTGCAAAAGGATAGTCATCTGCCTTAATAAGAAAAATGCTATTTGAGAGTACATTGAGATATTCATTCTTACTTGCAGACAGGCAAAAATTCAGACATGGACAATACCAACTCTGTGAGGGTGTGAGAAATGCCCTTTCTCCTACCTGTGAAGTAGACAATGGCACAACTATGAAGGGTGGTTTGGCCATCTTTATCAAGATGACAAATGCATCTATTTTTTAATTCAGCTATGCTACTTCTCGACAGTTATCCTGTAAATACATTTACAAACCCAAAATGTAGACAAAAAGTTATTGATTACAATATGATTCATAATAAAAATTGAAAGTAATACATCTGTTGAAAATTAAATAAAATGTGTACTTACTAAAATTCTCTGCATTTTTGAAAGTATGTTCTAATATGACAATATCTCTAAGATATAATTAAGTGAAAAAAGTAAGAAAAACATTAGTCTCATAACCTTTTGTGTGATAAGTGGAAATAATTTTTCTTCTTTGTTGTATTTTAATAAATACTATGAACATACGGACAAAGCATATAAATCACCTACTGGGGGAAATGACAATCCCTCAGGGCCAGAAAAATAGAAGATAGAATAAAAGTATAGAGCAAGCCCTAGATCCAGTAAGATACTTTAATTTCTCTTCTCTCTACCCTGATTACATATGAGGAAGGGTAGTATGCTCACGGTTGTAGCAGTTTCTATTTGGTCTCTCGCCAAATAATTTGCCATTAGGACTTAGCTATACATTAGATAGCAATTTAGAGTCAAGGTACTCAGAGCTGTAAGCATTTCTTATTTCCTTCCCCTGTACGACACAAGCTTTTTAGAATGTCCATCTCTACATGTCTTTAAATGAGAAAAGAGTCTGAAACTCAGTGTTATGGTTAAAGGTCAGACTTCTTAACTGAGGACCATACTAAGTTGGCAGGAGTCATGTTGGGATTCCAGACCCCTCTCTTTGCATAGTTTTCAATTTTGTTTTGCCATCTTGTACTTCTCTTTTTTCTGACTAGGTCTGTCTGCAGGTCGGATTTCCCAGGTTATTATTGGTGATGAGCAGCGACAGTACCTCTTGGTGATTGGGCAGGATGTAGATGGTATCAGGTTAGCTCAGCGTTTGGCTCAGGCAAATGAAATTGTCCTGTCCTGGAACTGCTGGAAGCTCTGTGAGCAGTACATGTTTGAAGTGGAAATCATGAGGGAGGATGAAGCTGTGAAGGTGAGAGTCTGGCCCCATCCCTACACGGCCTTCTGAAAAGGCCTTGCTACTGGGCAATGCCATGGTGCTGTCATGGTTGGTTGACCAAACTAAGATTGAAACTGTCTCTTGGAGGAAGGCCAGAGGTGGTCCCCTACAAAAGTAGATGGGGCAGAAGAGTGTGGCTGATAAGATAAAAAGTAAACAAGGGAAATAGAATCCTTGGCCCCTCTGTTAAGGGAGTAAAGGCATTCACCTTGCGGGATGGACACAGACTTGAGCAGTTTCCTTTCTCTAGTTAAGAGATATTCGGATCATTGACCCATTTGATTTTGATGAGCATTTTGAAAAGTGCCTTGATTATCTGCCACATTACCGTACAAGTACTGGTAAGTTACTTTGCCCTTTCTACCTAAATACTCCACAGTTTTAAAGCTTCATTAAGCACATGACTGGAGACATCTTGTTTGTTTTCCTTTTCTCAGAGTCACTAAGAACTGCACTGGAATTAGATCCAGACTCTGCACTTGAACAAACACTGCGGAAGCACATAATGAAAACTCTTTTGAAGAAGGTAATTTCCTAATTCTTGAGTCAGAATGTAGACCAGTGTGTGTGTGTGTGTGTGTGTGTGTGTGTGTGTGTGTGTGTGTGTGTGTGTGTGTGTGTGTGTGTGTGTGTGTGTGTGTGTGTGTGTGTGTGTGTGTGTACACATATGTGATAGCCTTTTTTTATTGGTCAAGCTCATCTGCTCCTCATTGTAATCCCTGCAGATTTCCCCACCTACATGAAAATAATTAGTGTACCCTTGAGTCAGTTTGCTTAATCCTAGAAAATAGACAGATTATTTTCCAGTCTGTCCTATAGGCGCTAGTACCCTATTAACAGGATATATATAGCATATGCTTGGTAAATATATATTGGTCAGTCAAGTATATAGAAATGAATCAATATTGTTAGAGTCCCTTTGCATGAAATTTAATGACTAATCAACATATCAAACTATTAGGAAATATGAAAGCCTATTGGTGAATTAGACTTAAAAGTAAATAAATTTAATTCCAAGTGCACTGGTTACTATAGGTAGTGCCTGAACTTTCTTTTAAATTTTTGCCCAACACCCATAAGTTGTTTGCTCATATTCACCATGAGTTGTCAAGTTGAAATACTTCCATATGATACTGAGAGTTGAAGACACAGATAAGGTAACTTTGTGTCTTTGTAGATTGATGAAGGCCAGCCTGTGGAGTATATATCAGAATTCCGTACAGTGACTTTGGTTTTGGTCAACCTGGAGTTCCACAAGGCAGCCTGGTTGTTGCATTTGTGCCATCTCATCCAGGAGGCTGCCTTGTATATCTCTACAGTCATCGAGAAAGGGGGTGGCCAGCTGACCCAGGTCTTTATGTTTGAGAAAGTAAGTATAAAGGAGCCTGACCGATCAGTATTACAAGTAAGTAAGAAATAAGTCTTAGATGACTAGTTTATCTTGCACACATAACACAAACAAGTATAAATGCATATTCCTCCTATTTACTTCATAACAAACTTTATTATAAGTAAAGTAAGTTAAGGAATGCCATGTTTTAATTAATTTAACTTTCAGGATTATTTTCCATCTCCTTTTTTTACTCACTTCTTGTTGAAAAGCCTTTGTGAAAGCATAAAGAATGAGCTTCTGGCTCTAATAATAAGGTATGCATGGTCAGACTTTTTCTCAGACAACAAGAAAACTTGAAAAACAATATTTTCATATTTGACATGGTTATAGAAAATATAAGTAGATAGACTTAGCTCAAGATATACCCAAGAAGCTGAAAGTGATTTTTTTAAACAGTGGAAACTCACTGTGTTGCCCTTGCTGACCCTGAACAGCTGAGTAGCCATACCCTGGCACATGACACTGTACCTCACTGCAATGGATCTTAATAGCAGCTCTGTGTTGTAAATTTCAATTCTTGGAATAATTAAACCAACTTAAAAATGTTTTCCTGTTGGTCTGGCCCAGAGTATCCAGCTCATGAGCTGTGTAGAATCCTCTATTCTTAGCAGCAAGCCAGTAGTTAAGCCATATCCCTTCCCCAGATAAACTTGTCTTTTCTTCCTCTGTCATCTATCCTAGAGCTGCATGTTCCTCTGTGTTTTTGGCCTTCCTGGGGATAAGAAGCCCGATGAGTGTGCACATGCCCTGGAGAGTTCCTTCAGCATCTTCAGTTTCTGCTGGGAAAATCTTGCTGAAACAAAGTGAGGAGGAAAGTGGGACAGAGAAGAGCTTTTCGTACCCCCAGGGAGCTCTTCAGGCAGAGTAGGAGGCAGTAACAAGGAATAGGGAGTAGGAGGAGGGGGAGAATATCCAGAATGTGTCTAATAGGAAGGAAGCTTGCTTTAAAAAAAAAAGTCAGCAAATAGGAGCTGTAAAGAAATTGTTAAATAGATAGATATATGGGCTGGGGGTGGGTTTCCCAGAGGACCTGCCTAGCAAGCACAAAGCCTTGAGTTCAAACTGCAGCACCATCAAGAAAAAGAAAAGAAATCACTAGATGCAGAACTATGTACTGCATCCCCAGAGGCAAAATTAAGATAGGTTGCCAAATGATAGAGCAGGAGAGTATGGAGAAACACTTAGAAGTTTAGAACACTACAAAGAAAATTCCAGATATTCAAGAGGTAGAGATAGTAGAATCACGAGTTCCAAGCCAGCCAGCCTAGCAAACAAAGTTAGGGAGACCATATCTCAAAAACAAACACAAGGGGCTGGGAAGGTGGCTCAGTGGTAGAGTGCTTGCCTTGCAATGCATGAGGCCCTGGGTTCGATTCCCCAGCACCACATAAGCAAAAAGAAAAAAGCCAGAAGTGGCGCTGTGGCTCAAGTGGTAGAGCACTAGCCTTGAGCTGAAGAGCTGAGGAACAGCACCCAGGCCCAGAGTTCAGGCCCCACAACTGGACCCAAAAAAAAAAAAAAACAAACACAAAAAAATAGAATGGTTGGGGCTTGGCTCAAGGGGTTGAATACTTGCAAAACTCTGGTTTAAATCTCTAGTACTTACAAATGGGGGGGGACTACAAAAGACAAGCAAATAGGTAAGTTTATATAGTACAAACAGCATATCTGACTATGAAGAGGATGCTACAAAAGGTAGCATGAGAACATTGTGGGGTAATTACCTAGGAGGGAAACACAGCTTTGTGTATCTATGTGTGTGTGTGTACATGCATGCCTATCCTAGGGCTTGAACTCGGGGCCTGGGTGCTGTTCCAGAGCTTTCTTGCTCAAGGCTAGCACTCTACACCTTGAGCTACAACTCCTCACTTCGGATCTTGCTGGTTAATTGGAGATCAGGGATCTCAGATCCTCAGATCCCAGTCTCCTAAGTAGTTAGGATTACAGGCATGAGCTACCTGTGCCCAGCCAAAACACAGCTTTTGACTTCCACTCTTGATCTTTCCCCGGTCCCATTGTTTTTTCTGGACCCTATAATGAAATGTCTCACTCCTCCATATCCACTCTACCATTTTCTGCAAAATCCTAGACCTAATAAAGATAGAGGAAAATCTACTCTCCCACTCATTACATTATGACAAAGTTGGTTAGGATTATCTGGGAAGCAGTGGCTCATGCCTGTAATCCTAGCTACTCAGGAGGCTGAGATCTAAGGATCATGGTTCAAACCCAGCCCAGGCAGGAAAGTCCGTGAGACTCTTATCTCTAATTAATCATAGAAAAAGCTGGAAGTAGCACTGTGGCTCAAACTAGTAGAGTGATAGACTTGAGCAAAAGAAGCCCAGGGACAGCGCCCAGGCCAAGTTCAAGCCCCAAGGCTGAGGGGGGAAAAAAAGTTGGTTAGTGTTTTTCAAATGACCTTTTATTAATAAAAATAGAAAACCATGGGAAATGTATATACGTGGAGTCAAAAAATGGTTGCTTTCCAGTGTTAACTTTGAACCAAGGATAGATTTTCTTGCCATATTTTTTTGAGATTTGAGATTTGAAGCACTAATAGAATAATAGAATTGTATCACACATATTTAGTGCCTTAACATTTATAGAATAGTATATGCTACCAGAGTAAAATATTTTTATCTTCCATTTATATTTGAGGAAGCTAAGGACACATAGAAAGCCAGATCCTTGTTTTTCTAATATTATTTTGTATTGGCAACTCCTTCATAAAATCTAGATGCTCCCAAAAGTATCACACACATTATGTGTGTATGTATGTGTGTATAGTGTGTATAGAGTTTGTGTATGCATTACATATTGTGTGTAAACTATATAGTGTACAATATATCATGTATATTATGTATGTGCATCACACACTCATGTGTGCATGTCTTGGGTCAGTTCTAGGGCTTAAACTCAGAACGTTTCACTTGGCGTTTTTGACCACTAATGGAGATCTACCTCTTGAGCCACTTCCAGCTTTTTGCTGGTTTTGAGATCGACTTTTGAATTTGTCTGTCCGGGCTGGCTCCAAAACCTTGATCCTCAGATATCAGGCTCCTGAGAATCTAGGATTATAGGCATGAGCTACCAGTGTGCAGCTCCCTTAATGATTGAATTACTCATTTCTCTGGTCTTTAGAGGTTGTTTTACAATGCCTTGAAGGATGCCTTCTTTGACTCTTAAATCCATAACCTATGTGGTCCTCCTTTGTTTAGAATATTAGATAGGATACTGGGGTTCATCTAAACTGATCTCTTCAGGAAAACAAAGATCCAGAGAGGTTATGTTGGCAAACCAATAATATAACAGTGTCAGAGCCTGAAAGTTAGATTTCAACATCGGTGGAATTGTTTTTTCCCTTGAAGATAACTACTGAGTCAGTATTTCCCAAAATGCATTTGATAGAACCTGAGTCCCTTCTACTCTTGGTCAAGCTAAGTTCACAATGTACACTTATATTTCAAAGGTTGTAAATAGTCTTAAGGTAAAGAAATTTATTTAGTTTTACTTAGTGTTTCTCAAGTGTACTGGATCATGAAACTCTTTTTTCCAAAGAGCCCTGTAAACATCCAGAACAAGGAATGCTCTGAAGAACATATTTGGGGAAATGTTGCACTAGCCCTATGCTGAAGCTTCAATGTAAGTGTAAGTTTAGGTGGCCACGCCTATGCAGTCTCAGTAAAGGCCTCATTACTGCTCATACCACTGCATCACATTAGCTCTCACCCAGATCCCAAACTCTTCTCCACACCTCCTCGGGTCATCTTCTGTTATGTTTTTAACCTGAAATCTAGTTCCAGTTTTCTGGTGGTTAATTGGAGATAAGAGTCTCACAGACTTTCCTGCCCAGGCTGGCTTTGAACCTTGATCCTCAGATCTCAGTCTCCTGAGTAGCTAGGATTACAGGCATGGGCCACCAGGACCTGGCTTCCAGGGTATTTTTGAGACTTACTAGGTTCAAACTCAGAATCTTATCATTATGCTCTTTGAGTACCAGAAATACATATAATGTATGTCAGATAATATATGTATAGTGTATATCAAATAATATGCATCAATGTAGAATAGCTTTCTTTTTTAAAAAAAACTCAGGACTTGATAGGTGTGTATTTTAATATAGAATGTTTTGAAATACTATTTAGAAAGTATATTCCAAAGATCAGTTTGCTTCATGAATTCTTCCATCAACTGTCTTGACATTCTGATAATTGTTTTACTCTGACATTCAAGCATTATTTGATCTGTTAACTCTGTTTTGATGGCTGTTGATTGGCTTGTCATTTTTTGCTTTATTTGAGACTATAGTAAAAATAACATGATCTTGGAGGGGGCAGCTAGGTTCTCATTCTGACATTTTTACATAGATCTGGGATAATTAACTCCTTTTTGAGGGCAGAGAATTCTAGTGCTCACTAGTATAGTTTTATGTCCTGGAACAAATCAGAGCCTCTGTGAGCCACATTCTTTTTCATGGCAAATATTTTCCATGCCTTCCAGGCAGGTTGGTTGTTAATTATATCTCAAAGGATTAGATGGGGTAATCAATCAGTTCAAAGGTACTTCAAAAAGTGTATATAAAGCATCTTACAGATAAAATATTTATCTTCTTACTAAGAACAACTCTCTAACTAAAATTCCTGAAGAAGACCATTCTGTTCCTTTCAGTTACCACCCTATACTTAAATTCTTTTCTTTTTTTTCTTTTTTTGTCGGTGGTGGATCTTGAACTCTGGTCCTGGGTGCTGTACCTCAGCTCTTTAGCTCAAGGCTAGTGCTCTACCACTTGAGCCACAGCACCACTTCCGGCTTTTTTCTGTTTATGTGGTACTAAGGAATTGAACCCAGGGCCTCATTCATGCAAGGCAAGCACTCTACCACTGAGCCATCTTCCCAGTCTAGTACTTAAATTCTTTATGCTCATGATACTATTCAGAACAATAGCAACTTCTGACCTTGTCGATTCTGAGCTCTAAAACTATGCTTCTGTATCTAGAGAGTGGCAGACCTAATGCCTAACTCAGAGGCTTCTGACTTTATATTTACTCACTGTTGGATTTCTGATTCCTAGGCTTGTTTCCATCAGTATTACCAATGGACCAGTATTCTGTGGTTTGGTGGGGGCAGTAGCAAGACATGAATATACAGGTAGGATAGAACATTGGATTGTTAGTACTGTGATTTAGGGGTGAAGGTGAAAGAGGTACTCCAACTACCTTCAACCAATGCTGTCTCCCTGACACAGTTATTGGCCCAAAAGTGAGTCTTGTGGCCAGAATGATAACAGCTTATCCAGGCTTGGTGTCCTGTGATGAAGTAACATATCTAAGATCCACACTGCCTGCTTACAACTTCAAGAAACTGCCAGAGAAAATGATGAAAAATATTTCCAACCCAGGGAAGATGTATGAATACCTCGGCTATAAAAGATGCATGTAAGTATCACTGTATGGTTTATACCCATCTCTTACAGAATCAGGTCATAGGAATAGTAAGTTTTCCATTGTATGTATCTTATTACTACTGGAATAAGATTCATGCGAGAAGGTATCTATCTGTGTCTAAGACCTTCAGCTTGTGTGTTTAGTTCGTAAGAGAGTTCCTCCATGAATTTCTTGCTATCTGACAGCAAGAGAGTAGCAGTAAATCACAAATCCAAATGTTCTTTATTCTTTTCTTTGTGCACTTCACAATTTTACTTACTTCCCTGAGCCAGAATTGGTCAATACTGCTGTTCCCACATCACCACCACCACACAAATTTCTAGTCCTTAAAATCTTGCTTTTGGTCTGGGAAAGTGGCTAAGTGGTAGAGTGCTTGTCTCACATGCATGAGGCCCTGGGTTCGATTCCTTAGAACCTTAAACAGAAAAAGCTAGAAGTGGTGCTGTTAGCTCAAATGATAGAGCACTAGCCTTGAGCTGAAAAGCTGAGGGACAGCGACCAGGCCCAGAGTTCAAGCCCTATGACTGACCAAAAAAACAAAAAACAAAACTTTCTTATCCAGAACTTTGTCCCTCTTCAGTTATATGAAAGAATCTGCCAAAGAGGACCTATGTCCCTGAAGCAGTTTTTAATAGATATATTCCCTTTGTTTTTTTTTTCCTCCCAGAATGTTTGGGAAGAGACATTTGGCCAGAACAAGTAATAAAATTCACCCTTTGTTAGGTGAGTTTTCTTTTGTAACTTAAAGCATTTGTATAAAAAATGAAATACAAACTAAATACTTTTAATCTTTCTCTAAAATAGAAATCAGCCTTCTTAGTGAATTTATGTTTGTTTTGAAGAGGTCCTACCATTACTTTTCCATATTAGATATTCAAATTTCAGCTGTCACTTTAACTGAGAAGAATCTTTGTAAGTCAGAGCTTACCTATTGAGATCTGGGAATCATACTTAGAAGAGTAAAGATATCACCAAGACTGTTGCAGCTGTACTATATATTCCCTATGTTTTATTTATTTTAACCTACATTTATTATAGCTCATTATCTTCACATAATAGTGACAAACTATGAAGTCTAAATTGTTATTATGGAAAATTTTAAATACACTGTGAAAATAATCATAACCTCTACATCCATGCAGTAACTAAGTGCTTTGAATTTTGTTCCTTGAGCTTCACAACAAACCTTGGAGACCAGCATATACTCTGTTTAGTCCTGAGTAGATTTGCTAGAATGGGATGAGCATTTCCATCACAGAATGGATGGACCCTAGGGCTCTAGGTGTAGAACAGTCTTTCTTAAAGGTAGCTTCATAAATTAATTCAAATAAATAAAGTCTCTAAAGTATAGACATGTTAGAAGGATCTAATATGCCTCTTATATAGACAGGGAGAAAGAGCTGGACGTCTTCATTTTGGCACAGCAGGAGTGTTTGCACCAGAGGAAAGGAAGAGCAGTTCTATATGAGGGTGGAAAAGGCTATGGAAAAAGCCAGTTGTTGTCTGAAATAAACTTCCTAGCCCAGAAGAAAGGTCAAAGGTAAAGACTCCTGCTTTTTTGGAGCCACCTTCTTGGAGCTTTTTTCCTTATTGATGGTACTCATGTCATTAGATTCAGCATCCTTGAACATGTGTGGATCAGAGGACTCCCAATGACTGTGGTAACATTCACCAGGGTGTTGCCACTAATGCTGAAGGAAGCAGATGCCAAGCAGTACTTCTATGCCATCCAGACGCTCATGGCCATCTTCTTTGATATTGATATATGCCCCGCCTATTGTCGACAAGAGTGCCTACAAAAATATCTCTCTGGGATGATGGATGAACCTCTTTACTGCCTTTTTAATGACATCTTCTTTGTTAAGGTAACAAAGGCAATGGCTTTATGAATCAGGTTACTATTATGCATTATGGATACTCATACCCAGGATTGTCTTCTAATGTAACTCCATGTAAATGCAGCCAAACAGCACATAGTTAGTCATGACAGTTGAGATTTGATACCAAAACTTAGACTTTCTCCTTTTGGAGAAGAGTGAATTCTAAAGCTTATAATACATTTTTATGTCCTAGAACATATCACAGCCTCTCTGAGCCACAATTTTGCCATCTGTGAATGACAGTTATATACTTTAATATGATTTTTGCATGAATTTTAAGGCAGATAATATAAGAGTTTGAATATAAATTTTAAAGTTCTAAATATTTCAGTGTAGTAGCACATTCCTGGAATTACATCCAGGTGTTTTTGATTCCGGTATAATTTTTTATCCTTGAATGATATTCCTTCCCATTCCCTGCTATGGAATGTCACTTGAACCAGCATCTAGTCCTCAAAAGCTCCCAGTGATCATGAACCCATGTGATATCCAATACTGAACAAGTTAGAGTCACAATTTCATCACTTCTAACCTTATCGGGCTTCTAAGAAAGTATTTGATGTAGAATAGAGAACACTGGCCTCTGGCCAATTTGTAAAGATAGGCCCCTATTAAAACAAGCCTTGGCTAAGGCCCCAACCCTGCTAACATGTTCTAGAAAGAATCTCACTTTGGTGTTCATATCCATGGTAGTTTATTGCCTCAGCCCAGCACAGGAGAGAACATGAGATGATGTCTATTGCATCTTTTTTTTCTGAGAAGCCCCATGCACAGATTCACCCTGGCATACTTGGCGTAACTAGGCTGCTAGAACCACCCAAAGTGGCACTGATAAGTACAACTTGTTATTTGTCCTTAGTCACAGTCCTGTAAGGACTTTCCAGGGTCTGGTGTGGCAGGAAATCGCTATTTGTTTCTAATACTCAGTTAGCTTGAGATCTCATTCTCTGAACTGTGAATTAATGTTGGATTGGGTCTTGTAACTCTATGTCTAATCATACAGAAACCCATTCTCAGTCAAAACAGAATCATTGCTTGTACCCACTGAACAACCTGCATATTATAAGGTTATCACTTTGAATGCTAATTTATAATAATTTTTCTGACCAGTTTCCCTTATCGTTCAAAGTTTCACATATGGATGAACTGGCAAGACAAAAGGAGGTTAAAACATATTTTATTCAAGTGCTTCAGGAGGTGGGTACTCATGCTGCATACTATTACTCAATATTTGGAGAGATGCTATAAGTTCATTTTAACCTATCCATATCGTACTAGCTACACATAAGCATTTCTTGGTCTGTGTACTGTCTTCATCGTTACTTTTTAAACTTTTTTAATCACCTGTTCATCCAACAGCAAAGCATACCATACAAAAAGAGGCTTTGCTCTTTTCTGATCCTGTCTCTTAATGAAATTTTAATTTAAACGAGTAGTTCCCAAATGTGTTATTTTGCAAAATATTTACTAGTAAGTAACACAAATACTCAGATTCTAACTCAGGATTACACAATCAAACATTTGAAGAAAAAGTGATGTAACTAGTAAATCCTTCTGAACCCAGCATTTCCACTCCTGGGTCTATATACTAAAAAGAGTGTTTTCAATGCAGTATTTGTCTGGAGAGAACAGGGCAGTTGTTAACATGAGCACATTGCTGAACACAGAAAAGCTTAATGCACAAGTTAGAAGTAAGCGAGTAAGATGAAAACAGTAGTAGGAAGTGATGTTTAAAATACTCCTGATGGGCTGGGAAGTGCTTGCCTTACATGCATGAGGCCCTGTGTTCGATTCCTCTGCTCCACATAAACAGAAAAAGCTAGATAGAGCTGAGGGACAGCGCCCGGGCCCAGAGTTCAAGCCCTACAACCAACAATAAATAAATAAATAAACAAATAAAATAATCCTGAACAAACAGAGAGTGTAGGAGAAATATACTGTGTGTATATCTGAAGTCTACGATCCAGTAGCATTTGCATAAGAAATTTACTCAACAAATTAACAATGTACATTTTTTTGTTTTTTTTGTTTGTTTGTTTTTGGTCAGTCATGGGCTTGAACTCTGGGCCTGGGTACTGTCCCTCAGCTCTTCAGCTCAAGGCTAGTGTTCTACCACTTGAGCCATAGCTCCACTTCCGGCTTTTTTTTTTCTGCTTATGTGGTGCTGAGGAATTGAACCCAGGGCCTCATGCATGCAAGGCAAGCACTCTACCACTGAGCCACCTTCCCAGCCCCAACAATGTACATTGATTTAGAGAACATATTGATCATGACTTCCACTTTTTAGTTACAGTATTTTCTTGTCCAAAAAGACCTCATTAAATATATAGATTATATTTTCATTTATAAAAGTAGACAATTACTGGAACTTAGAATACATTAGAATGCTCTGAAAGCTCCAGCCTGTTGGCATTTTTTAAAGAATTGATGGGAAAGTCACAGTAGAGTTTAAAAACAAGTGACTTCATTTCTAATCTGAGATTATTGTTATTTCTTTGTTGTTATTTCCAGGCAGTGAGAGAAGCATCATTGGTTTTCCTCTTTGATGAGGCCCAATATATGGATGCAGCTTCCTGGGAGTTTTTGGAAACATTGCTCTCCAGTCTGCCTATCACCATGGTGATGACATTGACAACTCCCATCAGCCTGTGTACTGGGGCCCTGCACTTCCTGCAGAGCCCTCAGGCTATCCTTGTGCCAGTTCCAAAGTTGGCAGCAACCTCGCTGTTGAGAATGGCATGTTGGGAACTAGGGGTGGTGAGCATCCCCAAAGAACTGCAGATGTGAGTGGCTAGGATTAGGTGGACACTTCGTTAAGGGAGGTACTGGTGCTGTAAGATAAGTGAGAAGAAGCTCATTTCTCACTTACTGGAGAAAAAGTCCTTCCCATGATGAGGCCTACAAATACATTTAGTGGAGACAGTCTTCTTGGTGATCAGGAAGGGGCTACCCTTCTGGGTTTTCTCAGTCAGATTTACATGGCTTTATATCTGATAAATTGGGCCAGTTCCTGCCAGGCCTTTTAGCCAGGGAATGTTAGTTCCTGTTAACAGCCATAGAAGCAAAGTAATTGAGAAAGAAGTTCCTGCCAGATGTATTTCAAAAACAATCAGAAATTGTTTTCTTTTTACATTTCTGTACTATAGCTTCTGTACTATAGCCTGTATGATCAAGATCTGGCCTTAACAAAAGAAAATCCTTCCATATGAAGTACTTTAGACTTGGCTCCCCTCAAGTAGGCATCTTTAGTCAGAAATCCCCTACTTACCTTTCTGCAGCTACCTTCTCCACAGGTGCTCTGGAAACCCCTTGTACTGTGAGGTGCTGTGCCAAGACCTTCTCTCTAAGGATATACTGCTATTTCATAATTTAAAAGAGGAGGAAGAAGAGAACAGCAAGTGGGAATCACTCTCAGGTAAACTCCATTTCCGCAGGTTTACCCTGAAGTTCTCCAATATAGCATTACCTAGGCCCTGATGAGGTATGTACTTATTCCATGCTGACATTATGGGCCAGATTGGGCCACCCCCTTTACAAATACTAAGCAGTCATGGTAAAAATTCTAAATCCTTGCCTCAGATAATCATTTGAGTCAACCAATCTGTAGTAGTTTCTATTTGAGTAGCCAGGAAGTAGAGGTAGTAAAGTAGGATTTACGAGAGTTTAGCATTGACATATTACTGATGAGAAGGATGGCTTCATGGTTTGGATGGGTGGGCGTTAAGAGGAGTGGGAGAATGAGAGAAGAGGAAAGAGTAGAAGTATATGTAAATCCTAGATGAGAGGTAATAGACAGGACAGTTTAATAAACAAGGTGAACCGCAGTTAGATGCTGTGTAGTATAGAGGATGTTGTTAGTTTATAAAATAAATTAAGAATAGGCAGGCACCTGTAATCCTAGCTATTCAGGATGCTGAGATCTGAGGATCATAGCTTGAAGCCAGCCCAGGCAGAAAAGTCCCCATGGGACTCTTATCTCCAATTAGCCACCAGAAAACCAGAAGTGGCACTGTGGCTCAGGGTGGTAGAGCACTAGCCCTGAGCAAAAAGAGCTCAGGGACAGCACCTAAGCCTTATAACCCCCCCCCCAAAAAAAGAATAGGCAGGATGGACTGGAATGAAACATGTTACACTACAGTACATTCCATTCATCTTCATCCTGTAGTCTTTTGACTAAATTGCTGTGCCTTCAAGCATAGTATTTTCTTCAATCCGTGTTTTCTTCCCACAGCTAATGCCATAAAATCCACGATGTATACTATTTGTCCTGCCAGCTTTGAAGAAGAACAGGAACTTCATGTCTGCACAGTCAAAGATGATGTGAACTTGGATACAGTTCTTCTGCCACCACTCTTGAAAGGTAAGTCCCTTTCGTACCTCACATGACCTGATCACAGGTTGTCATTGCATTAGTAACTGTCTAAGTGAGTTGAACAAAGATCTGTCATTATCATTCTGCCTCATTTTCCTTTAAAACAGAAACATGTCTTCCAGAAATAAGTTCTGGAATGTCTGAAAAGTCCTTTGAAAAGTCACATAATATCATTTGAGTAACACTCGATGTAAGTGAACCTATTATTCTCTTTGGAGCTGACTGATGACTGGGAAATACTTCCAGTTACTTGGGAAAGTTAGGTCTTGAGCTTCCTTTTGAGCTTCCTTTTGTGCATTTTCCTGTGCTAGAAAAGACAGTGAGCAAGGGAAATGATAGTGCTGATATTTAGGAATATCTGTGGTGCTAATGAAGATACTTTGTCTTAAACAGAAGTGAATGGGAGGAGAGGGGAAGGAAAAGCAGAGTCTGAGTACTAATTGGTCATGAAAAATGGAAAAGAGTGGTGTGACTTCGTGTTTCAGAGTAGTTGGAGTTCTCCCAACATAATGTTTTAGTGATCAAGGATGAATACTTTCAGCAGTATAGTAGAAACCAGATTATTGGTTTAACTAATAGGAAACAAGACCATGGAGACAGGGCTCTCTGGTAGAGAAGGAGGGATTACAGCAAGGTAGAGGATGAGGTAGATGACAAGCAAGCTTTTTGTTTTTAAGATGACTAGATTATCAATAATCTATATTTTCTAGAAACTTTGGTCATTGCTTTTGGTTTTTTTGTTGTTGTTGTTGGTTTTTTGGCGACAGGAGCTCCCTATGTAGAACAGACTGGTCTTGAACTTTCAGGACAATTCTCCTTTTTCAGGCTCCTAAGTACAGGCATGTTCTACCACACCTGGCTCAAAACCTTGATCATTGTTTTTTGTTTTCTGGGAGAACAGAAATAGCTGTAAACCACATGGACCAACTGAGCCCCGAAGAACAGTTGCTGGTCAAGTGTGCTGCAGTCATCGGTCACTCCTTCCATGTAGCTCTGCTGCAGCACCTCCTGCCTGGCTGGGATAGAAACAAACTACTGCAAGTGTTGAGGACTCTTGTGGATGTGCATGTGCTCCACTGGCTCAGTGAGAGCCAAGAGCTTCCTGCTGAGTCTACATTAGCACCTCATTCCATTAGCAACCAAACCAGCAACCAAACCAAAGAGAAGAGAAAGTCAGGTGAGGAAGGGCTGCTCCCTTGTTTCATGTCTGAACAGAGAGTGGAGATATTCTGTGCTCAGAAAGACCATCTATATTGTATATAAGGGCTTCCTCCTGAAAGCTATCATTTAAAGTTAAAACCAAAGAAAGAAAGAATCAAAAAAAAATAAAAATAAAGTTAAAACCATAAAGGAGCCATGGTTAAAAGAGAAAAATATCCTCCATTAGAATTGCCTTTCGGAATTTCAGGTCCTTAAAAAGCTAGGTGGAAGTGTAGTGCTACATGCCTGTAACCTGCTGCTGAGAAATGAGGTCGGATCAAGGTTCAAGGCCGGCTCAGGCAAAAATTTAGTGAGACCCTGTCTCCAAAATAAGCCAGATATGATGGTTCTCACCTGTAATCTCATTGCTTAGGAAACAGTCCAAAGCTGTCCTGGACAAAAGCATAAAACCCTGCGTGAGAAACAAAAGCAGAACTGTGACTATGATTCAGTGATAGAGCACTTGCCCAGCAAGATTGTGGTCCTGAGTTCAATTCCCTGTACTGCCAAAAAAAAAGGCTGGACATGCTGGGCAGAATGAGCCTGAGCCGGAGGCCAGCCTGGTCTGGAATAGAGAGAGTCTGCCTCAGGGAGAAAAAAAAAAGAGTTCCATCTCATTATTAATCTATGTGTTTAGTATTTGTGTTTTGATTTTTGGTTCATAAATATTCATAAATCTTGCCATCATAAGTAAAAGGATAAACTGTCCCTAATTTTAGAAATTCACAAGAAAGATAGACATATACATTATTGATAGACATGGACACAGCAAGATATAAATTAAATAGCTTGACATCTCATATTTTCCATGTGAAAGAATAAAATTGTACAATAAATGACCCAAACGCACATATCCACAAATAATTTCCCTTTGACTTTGAAATATGTCTGAGTTCTATATTTATTTGAATTTGAAGTAAAAGAATCTTAACTTACAGGAATAGAACTTTCCACTGTTCTTCTCTTCAACTGCTCCTATTTTCCCTGTCTTATTTATCCTACATATGGTCAGTATCACTTTCAGATTGGTGCAAAATTCTTTCTGCAGAGGAGATGGCCATACTAAGTCTTCTTATAAAATTGCAATGTGTACTTACCCATTTGCCATATTTTGGCATGAAAAGACTATATGGGAAACTCTCACTTGGATTTTCTGAAATTTCAGATGCTGGCTCAGCCTCTCTTCTCAGGCTTCAAGAAGAAATGCCCCTATGTCAAACTAACATGCTAGAATTTGGAATGCCTCTGTTGCGGGAAGCTGCCTGGGAGCTGTGGCCTAAGGAGCAACAGATAGCTTTGCATCTTGAATGTGCCTGCTTTCTCCAAGACATGGCCTGCCGCTGTAGCAGCTGCCACGGAGGGGACTTTGTCCATTTCCATCGTTTCGCAGTCTCTTCTACCAAGAACGCTAGCAGGACCTCTAGATTCTGTACTTACAAAGACACAGGCTCAGTGCTAACACAAGTGACCACAGACAAATTACAACTGCCTTCTCCCCAAGGTAAACTCAGGAGGAAGAAGGTGGCTACAGAAGAGGAGTCAGATCTCGAGGGAAAAGCTATCTGAGGTCAGCTAGTGAATTGTGGCATCTTGTACTCTTAGTTTTCTTCAGTTGGCTGTAGGCTTTGCAGTTCACTGATCTAGTTATAAACCTGGGCCAGATATATTCATGGATTTCCATTACTAGGAGTACCCATCAAACCAGAATGAAAACAATTTTTATTTATTTTTTCCTGCATTGCAAATATTGTCTCCTTTAAATTGGAACCTTTTTTTTTTTTTGGAGCAGGGCATTGAAAATGAAGGAAGTTGTGGGAATCACAAGCTGTTGTCACTAAAGAGTTCATAATAATATCTTAATTTTATGTTATCTGTTATAGAGGGAAAGGTAGTCAGGAATTTTAAATGGGTTTATTTAATCTAAACATGTATAATGAAAGATAATCCTCTGTTTTTCCCTGCCCACAGATAGTCTTCATTTCCAGGAAACAACCTTCAGAAGTCAGGAGGCCTTCTCAGGTGAACACTGCAGGTAAATGGAGGTGTTAAGGGTGGACAGGAGGATCTGAGTGAATGGTAGATGGCCCCTACACTGGACACTCACCCGCAAACCACAGGGGGCCTGGTCACCCAGAAGTGAGGATTCCTGTACTCCCCTTAAAAGTCAAAACGACAGTTCTCTGTAGGGAAATGATTTCTTTTTTTTTTTTTTCTGTTTATATCACAACTGATTTTATTTTAAAAAGCTGGTTGGATATACATAAAGTATTTTACCCATGATAGATAGTTTTCAGTTTCTGTAATTTTGTGAGTTTCCATGTATTTTAAAATGGACTGGAAGCCTCATGTTTCAAACCCCCATGTTTTAAAACATAAATATGGACAAAAATCGAAAACAGTTTATTGTAAAAAAAACAGGAAATTATTTCTTACTGGTTAGGATTAACTTTACTTAATGACTTCTCAAATGCATTATAAACAAAGCAGATTTTTTTCATCTGTAACTTTATCTTCCTAGTTATTTATTTTGCCTCAGATGATGTGATAATGGATGTGTATTTCCTAACCACAAACCTCCTGGATGCAAATACCTATTCTATCTATTTTAGATGTGCTCACTTTGAGTTCATCAGCCCCTCTCTGTACACTTCCATCTCACTACCTAACCTGATTCCCTACTGCTTTCAAATAAATCTGTATTCCACAGGAACCACCTGCATGCTCCCCTGGTGTCAGCTCTCCCTTGGGAATGCTGAGTAGCCTCCAACTGCCTCCCATTTTCAGCGTGTTGGCCACCTTCAGGGCCCTCTTCAGTTTCTGCTTTTTCAGATTATTGTAGCTCAGATGTCAGACTCTGATCTCTTTTGAGCTCAGGCTCCCTATGAAGGTGGATAAGACTAATTCTGGCTTTACCATCTCATTAGCTGTTATACCACATATAAATATGTTTCTCTAATCCACAGTTTCCTCATTGTAAAGACAGGTAATGTTTGCCCAATTTATATTTGTATATTACTTCTTTTCCAAAAGGTTCTGCTCAGTCTTCAGTTTTCATTGAAAAAGTTCAAATCAAATTTTCTACAAAAAAGTTGAACCAACTGAGGCTTTATCACTGCTTACTTCTTTCAATTATCTACCAAAATGAGACATGAGTTCACGCTGAGTTCTTTACAAAAGATTTTTTGTTATTCTAAATTGAAATATAAATAACCTCAAAACTTGAAACCCAAGTCAAAATAATCTTAAATCTTAGTAGCAGGATTGATAACATAGAAGATAATATTCCAATATGTCATTTACAAAAGTCAGATATACTACAAGAAGATTGTATTACTTATTGCCTTGTATCATTTTAATGTTTTAGTCAACACTTCTACTGTTAGTTTACTCTTCAGCTGTGGTATTTCCTAATTTAGACTGTGCTAGGTTTTTAAATCCCTAACAGAGGATTGCATTTACGACTCTATTCCAGTACTTACAAAAACTTAGGGAGTGATGGAGAGTACACATAGAATTAGTGAACTGTATGGAAAACCCCCTAGAAAAAAAAGTGGCTTTGCAACAGTAATGCCCCAACAAAAGTGGTAGCTATGAGGCCACTCTCAGTTCTTCATCTTCTCTCCACAAAGAACAGAGGAGGAATTCCTGGATCAAGTAAACAGGCAAATGGCTCAAAACAACCTGAAGAAAGACCGGCCCTGCTACTGCAGACAGATCCTGATGTTAGTGCTCTCCCCACTCATCCAGCACTGTCTCATCATTGGAGAAACCACCTGCACATTTTATTACCTGCTGGAGGCTGCCGCTGCCTCCCTGGACCTGTCAGATAATTACCTGGTGAGCAGTTCTGCTGTTGGCCTTTACTTGTGACTTTAACTAACACTTGTCACTGCCAACTAACCAGGAGTGGGGGCTGGAGGAAAATGGGAGGACGAGGTACTGGAAGGGATGTAGGAGAAGACAAATGGGGATGTGGGGGGGGGGAGGGGGGGGGAGTGCACCAGCCCAGGCTGGCACTGCCCCTGACGGTGTGCCAGCAGGCCAGCTCTCTATTTCTAATTCAAAACTCAACCTCACTCACATTTGGATCTTGGCCACAACGTTGCTCTCCAGCCTTCCTCCCAGTCTCATCCTCAGCAGTGTGCTAATCCTAATTCCATTTCTTCATCCATGTCCTTGGGAGGCCTTCTTTTATTTGAAGAAAGCAAGCAATCTTCTGGGACAATCTTCAGCATTCTTGTTCTTGAAAAAACACAAGGTAAAGATCTGTCCATTTGAGGAAGCTACTTTCTGCCATCTCCGGTCAGAGGTAAGGGGCAGGGGGAGACCTTGTAGTTTTAGGGGTACCCTACTCTGTTTGGTTTTGTTTTGGGGTTTTTTGGTTTTTTGGTTTTTTGTTGGTCGTGGGGCTTGAACTCTGAGCTTGGGTACTGTCCCTGCGCTTTTCAGCTCAGGGCGAGAGCTCTACTGTTTGAGCCACAGTCCCATTTCTTGTTTTCTAGTGGTTTATTGGAGATAAGAGTCTCATAGACTTTCCTGCCAGGGCTGGCTTTGAACCGTGATCCTCAAATCTCAGCCTCCTGAGTAGCTAGAATTACAGACGTGAGCCACCAGCACCCAGCTACTCTGTCTTTTTTAACTCCTTCTTTATTTAGTGTGTATGATTAGAAATGTGCTAATGTGATTATAAAGGTTATATAGGCCTGGGAATGTGGCTTAGTGGCAGAGTGCTTGCCTAGAATGCATGAAGTACTGGGTTTGATTCCTTACTACCACATAAACAGGAAAGGCTGGAAGTAGTGCTCTGGCTGAAGTGGTAGAGTGCTAGCTTTGAGCAAAAGAAGTTCAGGGACAGTCCCTAGGCCCTAAGCTCAAGCCCCCCCCCCCCCAAAAAAAAAAGTTATATAGATTTAAACTATAGAAGTCTCCTTTTTTTTTTTTTTTTATGGTTTTTTTTGGTCGGTTGTGGGGCTTGAACTCTGGGCCTGGGCGCTATCCCTCAGCTCTTCAGCTCAAGGTGAGCACTCTACCACTTGAGCTACAGCGCCACTAGAAGTCTCCTTTTATAACTACTTAAAGATATTATAAAAAAATAAAAAGTTAGAGACTTACTGAGTGCTAGTGGCCTAACTACTCAGGAGGCTGAGATCTGAGGATCTCAGTTCAAAGCCAGTCTGGGCAGGAAGGACTATGAGACTCTTTTTTTTTTTTTTTTTTGGTCAGTCATGGGGCTTGAACTCTGGGCCTGGGTGCTGTCCCTCAGCTTTTCAACTCAAGGCAAGCACTCTACCACTTGAGCTACAGCTCCACTTCTGGTTTTCTAGTGGTTTATTGGAGATACGAGTCTCATGGTCTTTCCTGCCCAGGCTGGCTTTGAACCGTGATCCTCAGATCTCAGCCTCCTGATAGCTAGGGTTACAGGCGTGAGCCACCGGCACCTGGCTTATGAAACTCTTATCTCTAGTTAACCACCAGAAAACCAGAAGAGGCCCATTACACAGCTATATCTGGCAAGAATTCCATTGTGAGGCTATGCCATAGTTTTATTACCTTTTTCAGTGTATGTTTATGTTGTCTCTACTTCTGTTTATCTAAACTTAGAGACAGTGAATATTCTTGCTAAATATCTCTTTCTCCCCTTTCTATAAGAGAAACTTCCAAAGGCAGAGATGCTAAGGCAGAAGATATTAACAACTTTATAGTTAATAAAGGTACCACCAAGTCAAGGTCAGCCTTGGGATCTGAAGGTTTAGATAACCTCAGGGCAGCTTCCCAGGCTGACCTCCACATCCTCCGTAGCAGCGCAGTCTTTTAAGCCAGGAGAGATGGGGAGTTGGTGATAGTCCACATCCTTCCTGGTAGCTGAGAACATCTGAGTGTTGGCCCAGATGACAATGTTATCTCCTCTCGCAGCACCACCTTCTGACTTAGAACCTTTCTCTTCTGCCCACTGACACATGTGTGGGAAATGATGACGGAAGGTGCTTTCTCCACCTACCTGTTCCCTCACCCTTTACTGCTGCTATTGCTGGTGTGTGTTAATGGGAGCTCACCACTAACCAGGCTGCTCTCCAACCCAGCACAGGGGTGTTTTATATCCAAAACCTTGCTACGGTACCACTGCCATATTTACATTGCTGTTTCTTCTTTTTCCATTTTCAGGTCTGTTTCAACATGGGACAGATCACCTTGGCCAAAACATTGGCTAGACAAGCCCTTCATCTGCTAAAAAGGAATTTTCCTTGGACCTGGTTTGGTGTACTTTTCCAAATATTTCTGGAAAAGTATTGGTATTCCAGTTCCCTAAGACATCCTCTGAACAGCCTCCACGAGAAGTGAGACACCTGGCTACGCTGCCCTGGCTCCCTTTAGGGCTACAGAACACTATATATAGCTACACTAGAACCCATCCTGTACTGACCTACAAGCCCTTGTTTCCTTCAAATACAAAACAAGACAGGCACATAATGCATATAACAGATCAGTATATAAAAGACAGTTCTAGGTCTTCTACCTTATTCTCTCAGCCAGTTAATAGTGGAAAATAGCAATTTAAACAACCTCTCTTCAAAAATTACTCTTCCTGCGAGGCGCTGGTGGCTCATGCCTGTAGTCTTAGCAACTCAGGAGGCTGAGACCTAGGGATCACAGTTCAAAGCCAGCCCGGGCAGGGAGAGTCTGAGACTCTCATCTCCAATAAACCACCAGAAAACCAGAAGTGGTGCTGTGGCTCAAGTGGTAGAGCACTTGCCTTGAGCTGAAGAGCTCAGGGACAGCACCCAGGCCCAGAGTTCAAGACTCACAACTGACAAAAAAAAAATTACCCTTCCTGGTCATGAGGGATGAACGGGAAATGAGGTTAGGAGCAAGGGGATTCCAGGATCACTCCTGGTTTGGCAGTCTCTACATGGCTACATGAGGCGTAGACCTCCATTTCTTATAGGAAGCAAAAGCTGGGCATTGGTGAAGAGAAAAGGCATGCTTAACACCCTGTGCTTTACAACAGCAAGAAGCAGCTGGCAATCCTGCAGCAGCAGGTGCATTGCCTCTCCCTGCTCTGGCAGCTCTATAACCGGGAGGCCACAGCCAGCGGCCGCAGGTTTGCCTACCTGGCCACACTTATGCAGAAGAATTCAGCTGAGGAGTCTGCAAATGAAACCCAGGTCAGCCATCCCTGGACCTTACTCAGAAAACTCAGGCATTAAGGAGAAAGATCCTGCCAAGGTCCTTTTTTTTAGTGAGATTCCCCAATAACTAAGACTTAACTAGACACCACTGCTCATATGTTTGAGCCTGGTTTCTCATTTGAAGCTTATTGATGGGTTTTCAGGTATATAGATGCATGTGATCTCAATGAACCAAATGCATGATTTGTATGTAGGTCCAGAAGAGCCTAAGGTACATAGTAGGAGGTAAAGGAAGAGATCATTAGATTCTCTTTGAAGTCCATGATCTAAAAAAAGATTAGAACCACTAAGTTAATAAAAGGGAAAGGAAACATTTTCCCAAGTTTAGTATTCTATCCTCTGTCTTTTATCCATTGATTCAACAAATATTTGATGATAACCTATCATATGGATAACATGAATCTGTTCTGGGATGCAAAAGAAAAACAAAAGTCTGAAATAATCCCAAGATTTATAGCCAGAGCTTTAGGCTACTCTTAATTGATATCAGGAAGTCTTCAGCAGGAAAAATTTGGTGATAGGTTGGGTTGGGAAATGTTTAAGGTGCCTGTTAGACATCCAGTTGGAGTTGTGGGACAGTAGTTTGCTCACAGGAGCAGTCTGAAATAGAAATAAAATTATGAGTGTCATTAGTGTATAAATGCTATTTTAAAGTCCTAAAACTGGGTGAGAACATCAAGGGAATGAGTGTAGAAAACAGCAATTTCCAGGGCTGAGTTTATAGTTCCAATGTGAACATTCAGGGTGACGAGGTCTGAAGGAACTTGCCAGACAGACAGGAAGAGAGCCATTTAACACATCAAATGTGCCTGGTATTGATAGAGATGTAGGCAGCATTTCTGAAGGACACTTAAGGAGGGAGAATCAGGGAGAGACTTTAATTAGAGTAAAAGGTAAATAATTTTATCAGCATTTTGAAGAGGAAAGTCTTTGAAGAGGAAGAAGAGGGCATGTGGAGAAAGTGACTTGTTTAAAGAACAGGCAATGGACTGGGTATGAGATGGAAGCTCAAGAGTTCCAGAAAGCGGGGGAGGGAGAGAAAAGGAGCGAAAGAAAGAGAGACAGAGAGAGAGAGAGAGAGACAGAGGAAGGAAAGGAAGGAAGGAAGGAAGGAAAGGAGGGAGGGAGGGAGGGAAGGAATGAGGGAATGAGGGAGGGAGGGATAAGAAAAGAGGAGGAGGAAGGAGAGGAAGGAGGGGGAGAGGGAAGGAAAGGAGGAAAAAGTAGGAGAGGAAAGAGTGACTGGAATAAAATTAGCAGCATAGGGATAGCAGAAGAGGAGGCAAGTGGGAGGAGAGACAAAAGGAGTCTGGATTGAGAGAACAGCAAGGCATAATCACAGGCTGTTTCCCAGCAAACGCGCCATATTGAAAGGCCACGTGCGTGAGTAACGGGATGTATTGTCACCCCTCAGGTTGTCTCGACCTACCTGGACCTCTCCCAGTTCTCCCAGAGCATGGGTAACAGGGAGAAGTGGCTGCAGTGTGAACAGATGGCCATTCAGAAGAGCAGCCTATGCTTGTTCTCCAGGGAGGGACTGCTGTCCACAGCTCACCTCATGCAGGCCTTGGCATACACCAAGTTGTGCCTCGGCCATCTTGACTTCTCCATCAAGCTGGGTAATAGGACTTGGGGCCAGTGGGTCCAGGGCTTTCAGAGTCCAGATCCACAGCTAGACCTCACACAATGCTCTTTAACTTCCTCAGGTTTTCAAGCCCATGAATTATGCAGACACCTCAAGAAACCAGCTCTGGATAATTTGGTTCTCTCAGTTCTCTTTAGATCTACATTTCTGAGAAAGAAGTATTAAGATTTTGTTTTGTCACTTATGTTTGTTGCACAGGGGGGTTGATGTTCTCCCAGAGCAGTCTGAGTGGAGGGGGAGATGCTGTTTCGTTTCCACTGCCTGGGCTGCTTGTGCCCTGATCCCTCTGGGGAGCATTATTTTGCAGGGGATTAGGAATGGAAATGCAGAGTAGAACTGCACTTGGAGCTCATGAACAAACTCCCCCCCCACCCCCCCCCACCCCCCCCCCCCCGCCATGCTCCTTGTGGAAAGTAGGAAGCAGCAGTGGCTCAGATCTACTGCCTTGGGCCTTTTCCTATCTCCTTTAGGTAGAGGTATGTTTTACCCCAGATGCAGATGTTCTCTAACTAGAAAGAGAGGGGGGGGGGCTTTTAAGGGATAGGATCCCCCCTGTTCTGCACCATCTTTCCCACTTCCACACTGGTCCTGGTGGCTCTGTGTTTTGGCAGATTTGATCTGTGTATCCATGTGCTGGAGAGTCAGTGGATGCTCATTTCTCAGGGTCATGATGTCCTTGGTCTGGCCTGTTTCTACTCTGCTTGCTTAGACCTGCTGCTGTACGGAAGAGGTAAACCTTGCACAGCGCTGTGCTGTACTCGTAAGAGATTCAGACCTCAGATGGGGGCCTAGGTTTTTCCCTCAGGCATAGTCTCTATTCCTGGCCCCTGATACCTAAAGTTGGAGAAGTGCATTGGAATTCAGGGGGCCTGTCTTTCAGGTCTTGATTTCTTCCCTGTGCCACATCTATACCCCAGTTCCTACATTGACCACATGCCCTGCTAGCCTGGTTACCTTCTCTTTCTACAGGATTGCTGTGTCGACCCTTCTGTGAGTGCCTAAATTTCACTCAACACTATGAACACAGCTGCATTCTGACCTCTCAGTGTGGTATTATGCTGGGGCTCCACTCTTCTCTGGCCATGTGGTAATGTCTCACTTAGGATCTGTGGGGAAGGGGAGAATTTGGGGAAAGTCATTTAATCTCATTTCTTGTATTTTACTAGAAAGTTCTTTGTGTCCCTTAGCAGATTTAGGCCTAGAGGTTGAGGGTTACATGAAAGAGCTAGTTAGAGATGTGGCTGAAGGGGCTGGAAAGTTGGCTCAGTGGTAAAGTGCTTGCCTCTCATGCATGAAGTCCTGGGTTCAATTCCTCAGCGCCACATAAGCAAAAAAAACAAAAACAAAAAAAAAAAAACAAGAGATGTGGCTGAAGTGGTAGAGCACCTGCCTGGCAAATACAGTGCCCTGTGTTCAAACCCCAGTACAAAAAAGAGGCACTGGGTGTGGCTGGTTTGATGGTATGGTTGGTTTGGTGGTACATGCCTATAATCCCAGGTACTCAGGAGGCAGACATAGGAGGGTCTCAGGTCAAGTCTGCTAGGCAAAATCATGAGACCTTATCTGAAAAGCAAGCCAAAAGCAAAAGGGCTCAAGTGGTAAGAGTGCCTACCTGGCATTGAGTTCAAATCCCTATCTAGAGTAGTCCCTGGCAAAGCTGCATGTCACCGGTAAACTCTAAACTGTCCTTACATGTGCATTTGCCACTTTTGTGTCACAGATCTGACTGAAAACCATGACTGGTAAACAGGATAGGTCTGAGAACTGTAACTTTCACCTCCAGGTTTGCCCAGAACTCACAGTGGAACCGGTTTGAGCATCACTTCTCCAAGGCCTGCCAATTGGTAAAAAGAACCAACGCCTCACTGTTTGGTTCACATGGCTTCGTCCGATTCTTAGAGTGCAATGTGCTCATGTTGCAGAAAATGCCAAAGGATGCCTTCAAGCGCAGTCCCTCAGAGTCGTACAGACAAACCCTCCAGGTAGCTGTTTCTTTGTTGCTCAACTGACACCTAATTCCCTGTGACACCCTGAGCACCCTGCATCTCTCCCTGCTCTTCCCCTTCCTTGCTCAGAATCCCTTTGCTCTTTGAACTCCTTGTTTCCTGAGCTAGAAAGTTTATGCCTACATTATGCTGTTTCCCAGATAGTCTTGCATCTAGATTAAAACCTGGATCCTTCACTTTGCATCTTTGCACAGATACTACCCTCTGTCATTATAATATTAATACTTGGCGCTTCTTCAATACATCTACTCTGTGGCTCAGTCTGTTCTGAGTCTAGCACACATTCTAGGTTCCTTGTATCCGAAACCAAATTTATCTTACCGCCAACTATTCTTCCCTTTTCCTCTTAGCTCTGAGTATGTTGCATGGGGACCGTTGTAAGTTCTGCTAAGATGGTGTGTTGAGAACAGAGTACCAATGCCAGAGCTAATGCTTCTTTCTTTCCTTTCAGTATTTTAAGGACTTCTTCTCTCGATGTGTGACCTGCCCCGTCTATCACCATTGGGTCTCTGAGCTCAAGGCCACTGTAATGAGATGTGGGAAGAGAGAATCCATGGCCTTAACCAATATCATCAGACCTCTTGATACCTGTCTGGCCACGATTTCGATACAGGGAGAATTCCTAGAGGAAAACAACTCTTTGGAAAACAAACTTAGAACTACAAAGTAAGAATTCTTTCTTGGAACCCTTGTGTGGGAGACATTAAGAACAATCTGACTTTCAGAAGAAGTCAAAAGCTGTGCACCTAAGATGAAAAAGGGTACCAGTAAGGAGCTGCTATTCTTTGCTCTAGAGGCAAATAGAGCCCCCTCTTAGTGCTGATGCAGCCCAAACAGACAAGGGTATGGTTATTTGTAAAAATTTCTTAAGGCCTCAGCCCTGTTTCAGCAGCTGTAACTCTTAGGGATAGAAAGGTTTTCCTTGGTTCTAACTAAAATAACTGGGCTATTTCCTGGAACAGGAGAGAAAGAAGGTTTTAGAAGTCATAGTATCAATTCTGTGAAAGTAAAAGATGTAGGCAAGGAAAAGAAAGAAGTTAATTCCTTGCCTTGGGGTCCTAAAGTTCTCTTCCTTTCACAGGTCTGGTTTCTAATATTCTTTGTGATCCTTCTTTCAGAATTTGACAGAGTGGCTGGTAACAAGGAAAATAAAGATGCAGAAGAAACTCAAGAATTGTTAAAACAAAAGAAAAAAATCTAAAGAAAGAATGGCAATTCTCCTACTGCATATAATAAGAAAATGCCTCTAAGACCCCTTTAAAAGATATGTTTAGATATCAAACATACTAGCCTTTTGTAATCACTGCTGTTTATATCTTTATCTAAATAAAGCTGTGTTTCTAAAGCATACCATGACATCTTTTTTAAATCTTAGAGTCGTGAGTACAACTGTAGCAGAAGTTAGAACCAGAGGTTCACGGAGATTCAGGAAACTTTGAGATGAACTGATCCTATCCTATCCTATCCTACCTTATCCAGTAAGGTCCATTAGCAAATGGAACGCTGCAACCCTAATGAAGAGGTTGCCATTCCATAGAGAAGGACAGCAGCACGTGAGGCTCTCCCTTGACAGATAGGTAATGAACTCCTAAGAGGTCAGGAATTCCTTTGGGAGGTGAATACAGAGTTCCCCTTTGTGTTGCATTTTTTGAGCAAAGTTGCCACAGTGTCTGTGACTAGCTGTCCTCCTTTTCCTCTCCTCAATCTTCCTTCCTTTCTTCTTCTTACATACTTTTCCCCCATGTTATGTGTGGCATCAACCTTACATTTCTGAGACATTTTATTATGGCATATAATCTATTTGGTTCCTATGTTACACTTGCTAGTATGTTGTTGAGGAATTTTATATCCATTCATTAGGAATATTAATTTCTTGTGAATAGATTTCTTGTGATCTCTCTTTTTGTTTGTTTTGTCGGTCCTGGGGCTTGAACTCTGGGCCTGGGCGCTGTCCCTCAGCTCTTCAGCTCAAGGCAAGTGCTCTACCACTTGAGCCACAGCGCCACTTCTGGTTTTCTGGTGGTTTATTGGAGATAAGAATCTCACAGGCTATACTGACTGGGCTGGCTTTGAACCATGATCCTCAGTGCTCAGCCTCCTGAATAGCTAGGGTTACAGGCATGAGCCACTGGCACCCAGCCTTGATCTCTCTTTTTGTATTAAAATAGACACTGGCCTCAGAATTAATTGGGAAGTATTCTCCCCTCTTCTCTTTTTCGAGGAGTTTGTAAAGAATTGGTTTAAAAGCCAGGTGGCTTATGCCAATAATTCTAGCTTCTCAGGAGGCTGAGATCTGAAGATTGTAGCCCAAAGCCAACCCAGGCAGAAAAGTTCATGAGATCCTTTATCTCCAATTAACCACCAAAAAACTTGAAGTATAGCTGTGGCTCAAGAGGTAGAGCATTAGCCTTGAGCACAAAAGCTCAGGAACACCCAGGCCCTGAGTTCAAATCCCCAGGACTAGCGCACGCATGTGCGCACACGTGCACGCGCACGCACACACACACACACACACACACACAGAGGTTTCATTGTGACCTTTTCATAGATAGATACAATGTACTTTGGTCATATTCATTCCTCCATTATCCTTTGTCCTTCTCACCTCCTTCTTACTGATTCCTTTCTTCTTCCTAAATAACTCCCCCTTCTACTGTCAGATCTTTTTTCACTAGAAACTCTTTTTCTAAGCATATATTAGATATCCTAGACAAAGGGATTTGTTAAGACATTTCCATGCATGCGTAAAATGCACTTTAATCATATTCCACTCTTGTCCTTACTTTCCCCTCCCTCCACATTTCCAACGCTCCCCTTTTTACTTTCACAATTTAAATATAAAACATTCATATTTGTCTTTATGGGACTGGCTCACTTTACATGTTATCACCAATTCCACTCATTTTCCTGCAAACAAAATTATTATTTAAGGCTGCATAAAACTCATGTGTGTGTGTGTGTGTGTGCGCGTGCGTGCGTGCGTGCGTGCGTGCGTGCGTGCGTGCGTGTGTGTGTGTGTGTGTGTGTGAGATTCTCTTTGCCCATTCATTCACTGATAGGCAGCTAGGCTGAGTTCATAATCTGACTATTGTAAAGAGTGAGGCAATAAACATGAGTGAGCAGGTGTCTCTAACTTTGCTCCTTTTAGGTCTGTACTTAGAAGTAATGGGACAAGATCATATGGAAATTTCTGCTTTTAATTTTTTTGAGGAACCCTTATACTGATTTGCATAGTAGTTAAAATGATTTAGATTCCCATTAGTGAAGAATGAATGTGGTGGGTCATATCTAAAGATTCCAGCACTAAGGAAGCTGAGGCAGAGAGACCTCAAGTTTTAGTCCAGCCTTGACCTTATGACAAGAATCCATCTCAAAAAGAGAAAACAAAACAGGTCAAAGAAATCAAATACTGAATCGATAAAAATAGGAGGGAATATAACAGCAAATGAAAAACCAAATTATATTTAAAATAGAATTAAATTATATGTAAATACCTAAACAGATCAGCTTAATTTTAAAATTATGAAAAAAGTAAAAATAGAAAAAAGTGGGGAAAATACTAAAAATATTCTTAATAAAAACAAAAATGCTTTTTTTTTGTTTTTGGGTGTGGTCGTGGGGCCTGAACTCTGGGCCTGGGCACTGTCCCTCAGCTCTTCAGCTCAAGGCTAGCACTCTACCACTTGAGCCACAGCGCCACTTTCGGCTTTTTTTCTTTTTGCTTATATGGTGCTGAGGAATCGAACCCAGGGCCTCAGGCATGCAAGGCAAGCGCTCTACCACTGAGCCACCTTCCCAGCCCCAAAAATACTTTTTAAGAGGACAAGTAGGCAGCTATATAAAATCTGTGTATACAGACTAGCTTTGCTTTGCTTTCTGTGGCCACTTTGGCTACCTGTTCCCCACTGAGAGCAGAAGATGTGTGCTATTTGGCGCCTACTTTTTTTCCCATATCCTCTAGCAGCAGTTTGTGGACAGCCAGCAGTTAATACATGGAGCCATCCTGCCTTTCAGGACTGGAAGAGGTGAACCACAAGCTTTCCTTGAGCTGGTCTTAGTTTCTGGTGCATTCAAATGTCTATCAGGATGCAGTTTCCAGCACCATGGGAGAATATTTCCTAGCTTTACCCTCTAGGTCTCCAACTTTCCATAACTTAGCTCACGCACCTAATCACTTTGCAACATTCCTTCTCCTTCCCAAAATGCTGATTGCTACCTGCCCTACTTAACAATGGGAGTAACTCCCATTCTTGCCCTCATCCTGACTCTGACCAGTCCTTCCCACCCACCCACCCACCCATGGAGCTCAGTCTCTAGTATACCTGTGGCTAGATTGACACTCTAGGTCAGCCTTCAGGGGGGATAAGTACCTGATCCTAGCTGTAGATTCCCAGAGATGACAAGGGACGGATTTTTGATTTCTAAAGCTGTGGACTCAGATGGGAACCTTTTGTACTAATTTAGTGCTGCTGCACCAGAGCCAAATGCTAGGAAGAGAAGGCTCCCAAGTGCTGATGTGCTGTGTGGGCTCCAGGACACCTGTCTGTTGGCCTGCACATCTTTTCAGTATTGAAACCAGTGTTAGTTGGGTTTTCTTTCATTTTCACCCCTCCCTCTACCATGTCACTCGGCCTGCCATGTTCACTGATGTACTCTCTCTCTCTTTATTCTGTTTTTGTTACCTTTAAATGGATATACAAGTGGGTTACTATCGAACAAATCCATTTGTGAGTGCCGTGCATCTTGATCAATGTGAGACTCCATTTTTTCAACCTAGTCCTCACATCCTGACACTGTATGTGATCCACAGCCCACAAGAGTCACTCCGCCTTCTAGAGTGTTCTCTCTCTTCCTCTGTCCTGCTCACCAACGTTTTACTTTTTTAAAATGATTCACTATTGTGGATGGTAGCTTCTCACCATCACCTACCTCAATTCACCAACACGACCTATAGACGGGCTGCCCCCACCTGCCCCAGCTCTAGCCCCAGGAGGTTCTATTGATTGGTGGGTCACCAATCTTTTGCCTTTATTTTAGTTTTTTGCTTTTGGTGGCTGATAGAATTCATTAGTGAAGCCAAGTGTGGGAAGTGTGTTTATTGTGAATTCAATCTTTCTACCTGACATAGGTCTTATTCATATCCTCCTCCTCCTCCTCCTCCTCCTCCTCCTCCACTACCACCACCACCACCACCACCACCTTGTCCTCTTCCTCTCCTCTCTAGAGACAGCCAGTTCTAGCTGGTATCTACAGAGGTCTTTATCTCCCAATGCTAGAAATCATCTGTTCTTTTGGGAAACAGGTTTGGTGTCTATCTCCATTTTTGTCCTTTCTCCAGTTTTCCTGTTTCTTTTCAGTCCTGTTTCTCACATCCATCAGTCCTGGTTGCTTTAACCCAGTACTAACTATCCCTGCGCCCATCACAGCCTATCACACGGTGATACGCCCCTTATTCACAAGGCACTGAGCAGAAGATGGAAGCGCTTTCTTGACTCAAGCAAATGAATCAACACTTCAGCATCCTGAGAGAGGCAGGAAATGTTTCCCAAGCAAATTTTGTGGTGCCTCTGAAATCCAACTGCATTGCAGTCATACAATTAGGGAGGAATTGTTTCCTGGAGCAGCACAGGCAACTGGTCATGAACTACAAACTCCCGGCCAGGCTTTTCAGATCACAGAACTAGGGACTAGTCAACATGGAGTCTTTTTACACACACACACACACACACACACACACACACACATTAAGCATTTGCATATCATTTTTTAGGGTTTATTTATCCAGATATGACATGAAACAGGGAACAAGACACCTCAGTCCGATCTACACATAACTTTCCTACTAGTCAAGCCAGAATATTAGATTTGATCCTAACATCCCTCGTTGCTCAGCTATTCCAAGGTCTAGGGCACGAGCTAGTTGGAGGGGACACAGACCTTGTGGTTCCCTGAGTATCCACATGGTGAATGAATTAGCTTGGTGGGGTTTGGCTGGCAGGTGGATCCTGGGCTGGCTCACTGGATGCCCTTCCATCTTTGTCCCCTCCGGGGAAGATGACTGTGGCATTGGTTACAGCCTTGGAGGACATCAGAACCTTAGGAGGTAGAGCAGGCTCTGAGGACGGGGGTGAGACTGGAGATTTCCCCACGGGGGGATCAAGAGGTAGATTGGTATAGGTGCTGTTGTCAAAAGAAGGTGGCGAGTCGAGCCTAACGTACGGTACATCCGAAGGCAATCCCGCAGCCGGTCCAGAATCACTGATGTGGTTGACTACCGACAAGGAATCCTGAAGCGAACACAGAGGAATCAGAGAAAGAGAGGATTCCCTCCTCTGTCCCAGTTCCTTT